GTTTCTGAGCCAGTTTTATCAGAAGCAACAAAGACCTTAATCCCCCTACCAGTAGACATGTCCAACATGGTTATTCATCTCTGATTCAGGAGCCAGTAACCTAATGATAAATATTCTAGTGTAATGTGGATTATTGAGTGCATACTCTATGCTAGACACTGTGCTATGCTACGTAATTATTTCATGGGGTTCAGAGACCAAGGTACCTTCCCAAGGGTACAGGGGTTAAATAGTGGTACTAATCTTTAAATATAGCTCCATGTTTTTAGAATCTGCTCTTCCAACCAATGTGATGTCTGCTTCTCTTTTGCGTACCTTTTCTCACTTCTAGAACTGACTGTTCTTTTCTCTGTCCTGGACTGAAACCACAGTGAGCTGTGAACCAGATCACAGTTTAGACACTTCCTTAGGATTAGACTCAGAATCCAGGATTCATATGGCCTGGCTGAGGTTCCTTTCAAAATCCTTTTCATGGCTTCAGGTCAGTTCCTACGTGGTCTGGCCACATCTCTTGCTGCTTTCCTTTTCTGTCACTCCTTTTCAGCTCCACTCCCTCTTGACGTTCACCTAATGTGCCTCAGAGCCTTTGCTTTGCAATTTCCCCTGCTCCGGAGACTCTTCCCCTCATGGCCACAAAGTTTCATCCCTTCCTTCAGATTTTTATTCAAGTGTCACCATCCAGTTTTCCCCTCCGTGGTTACGCAGATAGTAACTCTTCTACTTCTCACCCTTTCTCCCCTTTTCTCCATAGTTCTTATTACCATCTAACATAATATACACTTTGTCTATCTCTTCCATTATTTCCTATCTCCAATTTAAAAAAGTAAGTCCTGCCAGGGTATTGGCTTTTATCTACTATTTTTCACTGATTTAGATTCAAATCTAATCATTTTTGCATGAATGAAGTCAGACAGGCATTGTGTCCATATTGTATGCTGTTTAATTGCAAATTTCACCACTGCCTAGAGCTTTTCCTATTGAGTCTCCCATGCTTGGATTTTTCTGGTTGGCCTGGATCAAATCTGAGGCAACTGGGGTTCCCTGAAGGGTGCACTGTTGATGTTCATTCTTACTCAGAGGTTTGTTCCTGTGGTGCAATGCTGGTGATATCCTCTTTTCATGAACTGTTGAGATGGAGCCATTCTTGGTTATGGAATAACTTGGCCCACTGTTAAGAATTCACCTTACCATCCATTCATCAAGCTTTTACAGAGCACCCATTACATTCCCAGTGCCGGAGATTCAAAGACAAAAGAAGCAGGCACTGCCCACAGTGAGCTTTTGGTGGAGCTGGGAAGATCGTCTACAAGGCACACGGAGCATGCAGGACAGTATCCCATGCTGTGCACAGCAGTGGAGGAAAGAAGGGGTGCTGAGGTGGCCCCAGAGGGTACCTTATCCACATACGGAGACTCAGCAAAGGCTCCCTGCAGGTGTCACTCCTGCGTTGAGGCGTGAAGGATCAGTGGGGGTGGCTATGACTGAGGTCAGGTGGTGTGAGACTGGGAAAGACTGAGGAGACGAGGGCAGTGACCGAGGAGGAAGGACTGAGGCCAGAAAGAGTGGCACATGCAGAAAACTGGAACGTGGTTGCGGGTGCTGGGTTGGGCTGGGGATGAGGTTGATACTGGAGGGCGGAAACCAGGGAGACATGACCAGATATATAATCTCTGTATGAATGTAGGCATTTTATATTCAGTGATTACGCATATGAGCAAAATCCCAGGCTCTGTTAGATTTTGGTAACCCACAGCAAACTTCAAAATCTTTGTCTATTTCAGAGCTTCCATTGTGTATCTTCCCCCTCTAGCTTTGTACACTGGTAAACTGTTCCTAGTACTAGAAGCGTGCATATTTAGCAGAAGTATTCTAATTTAGTATAAGTATTCTAGTTTAGACAGAGGCTATAAGACTAAGACATTAGGTACCTCTGGGCATGCAGGCAGTGCCATCTGTCTTGCAAAACAGGGAAATAGGCGAAGCGTGAACATTTCTAACACTTCACAGACCACTGTGAGTTGGGCAGAGCTCAGCAGATTGGAGAATGTGGATATCCTGAAGGTATGAATATCCTCCAGAATCTAGAACAGTGGCCAACACAAGTGCTCAAAAATGAAAGACTGAACGAATGCAGGGATTTTGGGCAACGGAGCTTGATAAGCAGTGCCGCAGTCCAGTTCCAGGTGGGTAGCAAGAGGGCCCAGAGTACAGATGGAGAGTTCATTGTTGGGGAGGGCAGTCCCCCTTCTGTCCCTGAGACCTAAGTGGACATAAGTGTGGCTGCCCTTCTCCAAGGGCAGGCTCAGAAGTACCTAGGTGCTTTTTCGGAAGGTATGTTGCTAGATTCTCCTGAAGATAATCCTAATCGCCATCACAGTGCCTAAGATCTGGAGCTGGCATTTTCAATAAACTCTTTGGGAGATTTCTGAGGCATACCACTGGCACAGGCAAGAGGAGGCTGGAAATGAAAGGGTCTCATGCCAGAGAGGTTCCCTCTCAGACTTCCTCATCTGACATCACTCTCCCTGCTCCCATGGCCACAGCCCTAGTTCATATTCGCCTGGAGGCACCTCCTGCAGCTGAGCCTTTCTGAGCAGTTTTGCCTGCATGTCCTTCTTCTGAAGGATGCTGTCAGCTTGTGCAGGGCCCGGATGATGCTTATCTTTTTTGTAGTGTTCACAGCACCTAATATCTGTTATGAAATTACTTAAAGCAAATATTCCCTACCCTGAATTTTAACAATACAGATTATCTCAAGGAGTCTGAATACAAAATTACATAATCGTTTCACTTTAAGGAATTCCATACAAAACACAGCCAATCAAAATATGATTAAATGTTCAACCTTACAGTTTTTGCTTTTCAAATTGACTAGAATAAAAATAAAATGTTGAAGAGGGTGCGGTTAAATTGGAACTATCAGAAGGACTGCAAATTTGTACAAGAGCTTTAAAAAGAGTTATATGCTTTGACCCAGGAATTCTACTTTATGAAATTTTTTGTAAGGAAAGAATCAGGGTCATTGGTGTCGGTAAACAGTTTAAATTTAGCAAAAGAGGGAGTGGTTAAATAAATCAGTGAATAGAAACATGCTTTCTATTATATACACACTGAATATAGATTTAGAAAAACGCTAACATCATGTATGTGGAAAGGATATGATACAGAGCATATATAATATATAATTCCCATTTATAGGATTATAATATAATTTCTATTTTATAACAAGAAGTATACATCTCTGAGTGGTGGAATATTTTCTTTACCTCTTAAGTACCTGCCTAATATATGAGCTATGTTTTTTCTATATTTTCCAGATTTTCTGCCGTTAACATGCATCGCTGTAATAATAAAACAGCTAATAAAATATATGTGCAATTTAAATGCGTTGAGCTTGTAACAGTGCCACCCCTCCAAGTTCCCAGGAATTATTCCTGTGCTCTGGTTCTAATATCTTTGCCTGTCATATTACTTCCCTGCTCAGAATTCCTCCAGTGGGTCCCTGTACCTAAAGGATGAACCGTACACTCCTTAGCAAGGCATACCAGGGCCCTTTATGACCTGGCCTTCAGCCACCTGTCCAGACTAACTACTGGCTACCCCTTCCAATTTCCCTCCTTAACACATCAGAGATACTCACCCTCTAGAGTTCCTTGGTCATACCTTGCTGTGTGTCTGCCTGACTTTGCATGCCCGACTCCTTTGCCTGGAATTGCTCTCCACCTTCATGACTTCCTCATTCAGCTTTCAAGGCATTTTCTTAAAATCTGATTCTCAAAACTTTAGAAAGATTTAAGCACTGCTCGGTGTACTCACGGCACCTTTTAAAATGTCTTTGCTATCCCTTGGTAATAGAACTGTTCATTTCCCTGGTTGAAGGCTGGAGTTAACTTTGTGATTGGCACAGGGAAGGCAACCCATAAAATACGTGCTAAATAAAGTCATTAGCACGCAAATTAAACAGATCTTTGCAAATGCTGTGTGAGTTGTGCCCTGTGTCATAAAAGGGACCCCTGCGACTGGCAGGTGCTGGTGGACAACCAGCCAGCCCTCCTCTCACCAAACCAGGCTTGCTGACCGGCTAGGAAAGCAAGCAGTGCTAGTTCTCTAGTTTAGAAAGTGTCTGGTGTCCTGGGAAGTGCTTCATGTGTCAGAACAAAAGGAAGAATGAGCTGGAGTTACTACAAACTGGCTCATCCGCTCAAAGAATGTGCGTGCGCGTTTGTGTGTGTGTGTTCAGTTACGGGGCAAAGCAGATCTGTTTTGACACAGAAATCCTGGACTTCACAGTCACTTCGTAATGCCTATCACGTCCTACCCCCACTTTTGGTCTCTCTCAAAATTATCCCTAGGTTCTACGTGTTTCTGGAGAGTATCTTCCGTTAATTTCTGACCATTCACCTTTAAATTTTCCCTGTCTGATTTGGTTCACTGTTGTATTTGACAGTATTGTGAAAAGTGGTCAGTATTCAAAATGTGGGATATTTTCTGCCTGGGGAATGATATGAGTAACTGGTAAAACCTCACTCAAATTTCTGAGGCCAAATGTGTGTGAGTGGAGTCTTTGTTTGGCACAGTGCCTTTAGAAATTTTAAGACAGTAGAAAACACTCTCTTAATACTACTACTACTAGAGAAAGCTTCCAGGTCTTGCTCTTTAGTTTAGACCAATAGCTTTAAGCAGGTTAAAGTTAACTGTCAGCTCTTTGACTGCAGGGATTGCGTCCTGAAGAGCTTGAAGGAAGAGAGCAAACCTTGGATTTGGAGTCAGAATGATGGGGTTCCAGGGTGAGGCACGGTCATTATCAAGTGTGGGCACTGGGCAAGCCACTTAACCTCTTTGAGGCTCTTCCCTCATTTTCTAAATAGGCACAGTAAGACTTAACTCTGCCGCACAAGGTTGTTGGCGGGATCAAAATCTGACATACTGTGAAAGTATTCTGGACTCTCAAAACCGTCTTCCAAATGTGTGTTATTTATCATTCTTTTATTCTTTTTAAGGGTTCCAGCAAAGAGCAATGCCTGTTTGAGAAAATGTCATGTTCCAGAAAATACTGATTCAGAAAAGACTGATGGACTATCTGAGTGAATATGGAAGAAGTTGAAATTTGACAAATGCACTCGTGGTATGCAGAAATTGCTTCCGGTGACTTGCCTCAGTATTCTGAGCCTCAAACCTTGCTGACCCCTTCTCCACTCTCCCTGCACGCATGTACATCCCCTCAGGATCCAGCTTCTATCTCCGGTAAATAAATGCATACTGAAAGGATAACAGATATAACGGGTTAACATTCTGAAGATGCAGTTTCATTTCATTTGAACCACGGTTTTATGGACACTGTGCCTGAATTCAACAGGCGGGTGCGGGGGCTACTTTTGGACAGGCAGAACTTCCAGCACCTCTTAAATCACATCCCACGGCGACTGCCTGCTCCGCCTACACACAGGGCGGGCCTGCATGCATAAAACAGGATGCTGGCCCTGGGTGAAACCAAAAAACTCTTTTCCCCATCTGATGACTAATACTTGTCTCTGCCTTCAGAAAGCGAAAGCACCACATATAAACCTCACCAGTGCATTTTCCTTTGCTTATTCTAAAGAAGGTGGGAGAGTGCGTGTGTGTGTGTGTGTGTGTGTGTGTGTGTGTGTGTGTGTATGTTGCCTTAATGATGGAGGAATCCTGAAATGAACCTCCATAGGAAACCCCTGGCAATGTTCTGTGGATGCTTTTGCATGGGGAATTGAAACAAGTTGGCAGGAAGAAGAATTCTTTCTGCATAACTCAAAGCAGATATTTTACTGTGGGGAAAAAGCAAATCAGAAATGTGCTGTCAGTCCTCAAAATCTTACTAGTTACAAAAAGTAATATATTAGGCCTTTGCATTAAGTCCAGATAGAGCTTTTATCTTTTTTTTTCCTCAATGATATTCCTAAAATGAATCTTTGAGCATGCAACAAGAGTAGCTCTTCACAAAGGATGTAGGGCTTGGCAGTGGTGGCCTCTGACTCTGTGACATGTTATTAGACTCTGTTCTGGCTCCTCTGAACTCCAGCGATAAATGACAAAATAATAACTAAAATAATTAGGTGATTCATTTGATAATGAGGATAGTTTCTAACTAAGGATTGCCTGATGAATGAGTAAGCCCCAATAGAACCTGCCTTTCCATATCAGTTCTTGATAAAGGCTCATAAGGACAATGATAAACTTGTCAGTGTGAGAGTGTTTTGTGGGTACCGGGTAGTATGCAGGGCACCCTGCTGGCCTAGGTCACCGTTAAAGTTCTGTAGCTTTCAAATGGTATGAGCACTGTGATCCAAATGTGTATGAAGTTAAAATATAAACTCTTAAAGGAAGGCATTTATTGAACAATTTCAGCTTTTCTGGGTAAGAGTTTGTGTAGGATTTGCTTCCTTATGTTTCAAACTACTAAATCTGTAATTATTTTTTAATGTATTTATTGAAGCAATATAGAAATCATCTTTTAGTTAACTTGCAGGGTGATTTTTGGCCAATCGTATTTGTGAAACAGAAGAGTGAATTATTTTGACATATAAATATATCTGAAATCCATTCATTCAAATTAATATTGAGTGCCTATAATATGCACAGTAGCTTCTCAATATATAAATGAATTTCTATCCAATAGTCAATTCTCCCAGCCTATACCCAAGTTTACTCTGATATTTCTTCTTCCTTTTCTTGCAACCAAAGATCGAGGAAGAATGATTTCAGAAATAGAGGTCACATTCATAACACGCAGAAGCATGAAAATTGTTACCATATTTCAATTGCAGCTACACTTTCTGCCCCTCTAAGGAAACAAGGCCTTCTGTATCTTGGTTGCATCTTTGACTATTTGGGTAAGTGTTCTGTCCCTCCCTCCTTCTTCTTTCCAATATACTCTGCCTGGGGACCATTACCCTTTTGGCTGGAAGTTGTGAACAATGAGTGAGGCCAGCCACAGAGCTCAATGAAGAACAGACTCAATAACCAGGGCTTGAATATGCAGCTTTCATATGTGGCTTCCTATGAGGTATTGAAATGTCACAGAATAATAGGAAACAAATATATTGTTGCAAAATTATTGACTATGTGCTCTTGAGGGCAGAGATCATGTTTAACTCAATCTTGTGCTTGTTACCCAATAGATAATAGAAACCCAGCAAATGTCTGCTGGGGGAGGAAAGAGTAGGAGTGAGAGTCCACTGTATCATTTAGCCCAGAATTAAGAGAGCGGCCGAGAGAGGAAATGTAATAGAAAATAGGTTTCAAGGATTCTAAGGCAGTGTTTTTTCAAAAATGTTGACCTGTATTAATAGTAAAAAATATATTTGCATCATAAACCACACACATACTCACATACTAGTTGAAACCAACTGAATTTCTCTGTGAACCATTGGGATGCCACCCACATATACAAACTATAGTAGAAAATATGGAGCCAATAAAGGGAAAATGGAAAGGACCAGAATTGCTGGTACCCAGGAAAGTACTAGCAATTACTACTGAATTGCTGCTGTTAAAATGGCCCATTATTTACTTCTTATAGTCTTTAACAGCATTTTATTATTAGTACTTAGTCAGTTAATTCTTTTTTTTTTTTTTTTTGAGACGGAGTTTCGCTCTTGTTGCCCAGGCTGGAGTGCAATGGCGCTATCTCGGCTCACCGCAACCTCCGCCTCCTGGGTTCAGGCAATTCTCCTGCCTCAGCCTCCTGAGTAGCTGGGATTACAGGCACGCGCCACCATGCCCAGCTAATTTTTTGTATTTTTAGTAGAGACGGGGTTTCACCATGTTGACCAGGATGGTCTTGATCTCTTGACCTCGTGATCCACCCGCCTCGGCCTCCCAAAGTGCTGGGATTACAGGCTTGAGCCACCGCGCCTGGCCAGTCAGTTAATTCTTTCAGACAGAGAACAATTCTACAATACTTACTACATATCAGCACTGAGTTAGGCACACAAAGATAGAACAAATGAAAAATACGCTAAAAATATCTGACCTTCTTCTTGGTATCTCTTCTTAGATATCCCTCAGACATATCAGACTTGAACTATCTCAAACTATACTTTCAGACTTCCCCCAAATTTAGACTTCCTTCAGTTTTCTCTGTAAAAGAAGACATTTTCAATATTTGTAACCCACATATTTGATAGGAGGTTAATATCCGAAATATATAAAAGGCCCAGACAACTCAATAGCAAGAAAACAACAATAACCAAAAAAACTCAATTAAAAAATAGGCAAGAAAAAAATTTTTTAAAAAATGAGCAAGAGACCTCAGCTGGACAGACATTTCTCGAAAGAAGACATGCAAATGGACAACAGATATATGAACAATGCTCAACATTGCTAATTATTAGGGAAACGCACATTAAAACCATAAGGTGATATCATCTCATACTTGTCAGATAACTTTTTTTCAAAAAGATGAAAGGTAAGTGTCAGCCAGGATGTGGAGAAAAGGAACCCTTGTACGCTATTGGCAGGAATATAAGTTACAACAGCCATTATGGAAAACACCATGGAGGGTCTTCAAAAACTAAAAATGGAATTGCCATATGATGTAGCAATCTCATTTCTAGATATTTACCCAAAAGATTTGAAATCAACTTGTTAAAAAGATGTCTGCACTTCCATGCTCATTGTAGTACTATTCACAATAGCCAAGACACGGAATCAATCTAAGTGTTCATCAACAGATTCAATGGAATACTATTCAGCCTTAAAAAAGAAGGAAACTTTGTCATTTATGATGGAATCACAGAACATTATGCTAAGTGAAATGAGTTGGGCACATAAAGACAAATATTGCATGCACTCACTTATATGTGAAATATAAAATAAACTCATAGGAGCAGAAGGTAGAATGGTGGTTACAGAGACTGGGGGAGTGGGAAGAATGGAAAGATGATGGTTGCTATGGTTTGAATGTCTCCTCCAAAACTCATGCTGAAACTTAATCCCCAGTGTGACAATATGATAAGTGGGACCTTTAAGGGGGGACCGAATAGGGCTTTGCATTGATGAATTAATGGGTTAATAGATTAATAGGTCATCACAGAGGGGGAACTTATAGCTTTATAAAAAGAGGAGGAGGGCCTGAGCTGGCACATTAACACCTTCGCACCCTTGCCATGTAATTCCCTGTGCTACCTCAGGACTCTGCCTGCAGTCTCACCAGCAAGAAGGCTCCCACCAGACGCGTCCCCTTGACCTGAGACCGCTCAGCCTCCTTACCTATGAAAAATAAATTCCTTTTCTTTATAAATTACCCAACTTCAAGTATTCTGTTAAAAGCAACAGAAAACAGACTAAGACAATGGTCGAAAGGTAGAAAATGTCAGTTTAAAAGGAAAAACACATTTTTTCTTTTTTGAATTCTATTGCACAGTGTAGTGGCTATAGTTAATAACAGAGAACTGTGCATTTCAAAATTGCTGAGTAGACTTCAAATGTTCTCACCACAAAAAATGTTAAATGTTTGAGATAACGGATACGTTAACTAGCTTGATTTAATTATTCCACACTGTATTCATAAGTTATAACACCACTTCTTAACCCATAAATGTATTCAATTATGAATGTCAATTTATAATAAAAAGTAACACAATTGTAAAACATAAAAAAAGAAAAGAAAGATATTTTTATTCAGTTTCTCAAGCCAGCTCTGTGGGATTCACCCCTGATAGCTTCTTCTTTACCCCTCACATCTCACAAGGGCACCAATCTGCCAAATTCTTCCTTCTAAATAGTCCTTGAATCTGTGTGCTCTCCCCACCGCCACCAGGATGCACCCAGTGGCCTCCTAACCGGTCTCCTCATTTCCATGTTTGCCTGCCTTCATCCTAATTTATTCTTCACTTGGCAGCCAGAAAACATTTTTTAAAAGACTTAAATTGTGTCACTCTCCTCTTTAAAAGCCTTACTGGCTTTCTATTTTCCTATGAAGCAAAGCTGCAAACTCGTTCTCAACAAGGACTCACCAGCCCACGAATATATTGCCTCTTCAGGCTTCTCTCTCCCACTCTCAGTGCTAAGGGCACCGGGTCTTCTTCATTCCTGCCTTAGGTTTTTTGCACCCTCTGCCTGAATGTTTTCCCTTGCTCTTCTTTCCCTTCCACTCATCTCCACTCAGACTACTGTATTTTCCTCAGTAATTCTCTCTGATTTAAAGCAACTAACCCAATTCAAAATTGTGCATATATTTGTTTGCTTGTTTAATTTTTGCTTAATGCCTGTCTCCCCCATTCAAATGTAAATTTTATGAGGCCAGAGAGTTATAACTATTTTGTTCACCAAGATCAATCCAATCATAGATTTGGTACATAATAGACCTTTGAATATTTATGGAATGCATGAAAAGGAAACATTTCCTAAACCTTAGTCACTGAATATCATTCGATGATTTAGCCAAAGCTATGTACCACCTGTACTAAACACCTAATCATTTTCTCTAAGCTGACTATAAATCAAGTCTAAAAAATAATGTAGCTCTCCCCAAGCACAGTGTTGGGGAAGTTGCAGGTTAGTAGTCTAATCTTATTTTTTAATGCACATTGAAATAAATGCATATGTTATAAAACAAACATTTTTATCCATTATATACAATTTTCTTGTGGGAAATAAATGAGCAAGAACTTTTTAATGAATGAGAATTTCCTTCTGCTGGGTGTAAAGCAAACTCTGCACTATTAGGAAAACTGACACCGATTCCACTGGTGACTGAACAAATCACTTAAGTTTCTGGGTTTCCATTTCTTCATTCGCACTATGAAGACTAATTTTAGCTGTTCTTCCCAGTTCACAGGAAGATTTTCTTGTCTTTTTTTTCTTAGCACACAGAAAATGATTCGGTTCCAATGCATCTTTTTTTTTTCTTTTTTAGCCACATGAAGATTTAATAAGTGGTTGTGAAAATCATCTTTTTACATAAATATGAGATTTTATTTTCAAAATCATTCATTTTAGAAATGGCTACTACTGCTATTTGTTTCTTAGGATGTTCAGTCATATTGACCCCTTACATGACATAACAAAGAAGAATGTTATGTCAGTCTCCATCACGGCCATGAGGAATTGTAAAATGGGACAGTGCAAACACCCTTTGGTATATATGAAGTACTTAGCACACAAGACTTGGAATACATGTGTTCAGTAAGGGGTAACTTGTACTATCACCATATGTAATTGTCGATTTTTCACAGTTTTAAATTCAGAAATAGAATGATACAGTCCTCCTGATTCCTTCCTCAGCTCCTCTCCAAAACTGGTGCCTGTAGAGTGCAGGGTGTGAAGAGGTTTCAGAAATCACCCCAGCCCAGACCCGGAGGAGAAGCTGTGGTGACTTCTCTCCATTAGCTGAACCTCAGTTTGTTCTTCTGGTTGGCCCTCCACTGATTTCTGTGTCCTGGAATTCTTGATGAGATTCCTGCCTTGCCCACTGCCTGCAGGTCCTAGCTAGCAACCCAGTCCTTGCGTGGCGTGGGCTTCCTGCTGTAGGATCCCAGGCTCCGCTGTATCACCACCGCACCTCCCTCTGTCTACCTCCCCTCTCCTGGACTCTAACTATTTGCCGCATGGGCTTGGCCAGCTGCCTGTGTCCCAGGGTGGAAGAGAGCTGGGGCATGATTTGGATTGTTCCCGAATGCCTTTACTTGAGTTCTGCTTTTCTTTGAAAATAGAACTCCAGGTTTCTGATCTGGGAGGCAAACATATTCACACCCTGGGAGTCCATTCCTAAAGCAATGGAGCCCTGACCTTCTGCCCCTCAGACTAGCCTGAACTTGACTTTCTCTGCTGGGCTTCTCTGGCGCCCTCCAGAAATGTGGAGGCCCAGGGCTGTTAACACATCTGACTGCTCTCTTCCCCATCTTGACAAAAGTCATTCATTTGCAACTTTTCAGAGCCCTTTCTAACTGTTTCTAGCACGGCTATTTCTCTTCTTCTTTCCTTCTTCGGGTTAGAAATGGCTCCAAACCCCCAGATTTTGGCACCAGAACTCCTGGATTGTTTTTATAGTCCCAACGTAGTACTTCTTTGTTACGGCTTGATAGTCCTACATTTTGTTCCAAGTCTCATTATTTTACATTTATAAATATCAGGTTGTATTAATTGGTTCCAGCTTTAAAAATGTTCCATCAGGGGTTATTTCTGCTATTTTGATAGTGGTTTCTAAACGTGGAGCGCCAAGGCCCTGATGTGGGCCACGTTCCGTAGGCATCCCTGAAGGACTGATGTGGAACGGAAAGATCCGCAGATTCTGAGTCTCGCTGTATTCTTTGAAGACTGCACTGGCCATAATAGCTTCAAAGAATTTCAACAAGTTCCTAAGACATGACCTTCCCTTTCCGAAAATCACGTCGGCCAGGCTTGCCTTAATCAAGCTGTGCTTTTCTAAGCATCCTTTCACTTGATCTCCTGCAGCAGTTTTTAATACTTTCCCTACAAGTGAAGTTAAACTAACTGGCCTGTAATTTCCTGGTGTGTCCCTAAGCTCTATGAAATAACGGCATTAGGTTGGCTAGCTTCCAATTCTTCCAGAATTTTTTTGTTTTGTTTTAAAACGCAGGATTGAAAAGGCCAGAGAATGCTTCCTGTCC